AGTGGGGGTTCATGACAGCGCCACGATCTCAACAAACCTTGGGTTCGATTTCCAGCCGCACACATCGGTGACTAGGAATACGAGTACAACGTCGCGTATCCGACCGTCGTATATCCAACCCGATAACATGAAACTAACCAACATCAAAAGACAAGGGAATTGGCCTTCCTACAGTACCATAGGAACGTGGAATACGCGAATTCACCGCTGGGTTTTGGACCACCGAGGGAGCGGAGCACCGCGAAACCTCTCGTTCGCGAACGTGGATGCAATTATTTAACGGAGTAAAAACATTACGCCTTCACTTCAACTTAACGCACATTGCAATGTCAATTTTGGGGGGTGGGGGTGCGTGCGTTTGCAAAATGCTGAACACAAGCACTGACCCAAAACGGATATAGAGGTGGGGGGTGGGTGGGTTTTTAGTTTTAAAAAAACACAGCTGGCACACAAAAAAGAGGGGGCCCAAACGGAATGCGATGGAAATGGGCGCCGATTAAACTTCGAGGGACTGTGCGAGAACTGGTGTAAACGTGTAAGCTCCAAATACCTTTGACTGCTGTCGTCATTAACACTGCCACACAAGCGAGGGGAAAGTGCTACAAAAGCATACACGAGAGCTTCGCGACAGAACGAATGGTGGGTCGGTCCATCTTCAGTGCGGAATATTAGTCTTCCCGTAAACTTTACATGCAGCTTAGAGATTTGACGGTGTTTGTTAATGATGATGATTAAGGGATGCGTCTAAGATGGTCCGTCTGTTATAAAAGTGAACTTTGGTTCACTCACAAATGAACGCGGTAACGAGTACAGAAATTTGACACGAAGGCTTTCACGACCAATATTATTCATAATAAAGGTTTTTGGGTCAGATCGCGTAAGTATAAAGGTGCCGTTAACCCATGCCAGAATTCTGGCAAAATCACCCGCTGATGCTGGATGTAATTGCCAGCCAAAAGTCGTACTACTCAAATTATAAATGTTGTAGATTTACTCTCCAACACACCGGTGGGCTGAAGTAGTAACTAATTGGCCACGTTCTGTTTACGTGACAGCCCTAACTAGTTGGCTGTGTCGGGTGGTGGCGGGTTTTAACGACACATTTATATATTTACGCGATCTAACCCAATAAAACCTCTATTATGGATGACAAAAGCAGGATTGTTGTATTTAACAAATGCCGTTTTCTTCACAAACGCTTGCAATGAATCAAATAGTGCAATTGTTCGCATATTTGTTCATATATTTACGGTGAATAACCAGTTCAAAATGTCAGCTGTTTTGTTTTCACTATCAGCCAGTGATTACAACAACACAACTGGTTGTGACATGAATGGTTGTGATGATGATGATGATACGAACACCCCGTCCAACACTGGTACATATGCGCTATGAGGCGGCATAGTGGCAATATGTTAACTACCTCGCCTGGTGTGCAGGAGGTCGTGGGTTAGATCCCGACCCTGACGCCTGCTGTATATTTTGAGTTTGCATCTCTCATCATCATCATCATGGTGGCTAGGAGATGTTAACTACCTCAGCCGACATTCAGGAGGTCGTGGGTTCGATCCCGACCCTGACGCCTGCTGCTGTATATTTTCAGTTTGAATCCCCGTGGTCAGTTTTTTCCTCCACATTTACAAACGGCATCACGCATTTAGAGCATTTGGCTGCTACACATTTCTGCGTGAACAGCCACTTCGTTGAGCCATCAGTCGCGATGGCCATGTTGCTTCTGGAAGAAAAAAAAAAGAGTTTGAGAGCTCAGCGGGGCCTTACCTGGTAAAATAAAACAAATCAGTGCAACTGACAAGACTTTTGGGGGCAGCGGTCGCGTTATGGCAGAATGTGTGTCAGGAGAGGCGACAAATCCTCCGTGTGCTCCATTTAGCAGGGCGATGGAACGATAAAACAGATTCAGGCGTACTGGGGAATGATGCTTTTCTCCCTCCCTTATACTCACCCGCCTCCCAAGTCTATGCACTGCGCTATGACAAACGCACTTGCAGTTGTGAAAAGGAATGTTAAAAAAATTATATTACACTTACCACTCGTGACATTAACACAATGAAGTGACTGTTGCCTGGATAACGAGTTTTTTTGTTCACCGGCCGTGATATAACTGCAACGTTTATTGCGGCACAAACCCCTCTCTCTCTCTATCCGTTCATAAGTACTCGATGAGCTAACAAAAGGGTCACACTCGCATTCATTTCTTTGTTCATGTCTGCACGTACGACACTAAGCTAAAAAACAACAGTGCTTCTGTGTTTGAGAGAAGTGTGAAAATATGGTAACATCGCTTCTCAAATCCAACATTTAAAAGGAACCGCACTTGTAGCCGCGCACAAACACAGATCCAAACTCTCTTACCTGCTTCGAATAATGATCATCAGCCTAAGGGCTGACACTGCGGTCTATAATATTTTGTTACAAGCCACTGTCAAACAATGCCGGGTGTATACACGTTGGGTTTCCAGAGCCCACCTGCATGGTTAGTCTGGTACCATTCGTGGGGCTGCCTCCTCAACATCAGGCACGAACACAACTGGGATTTGTGTGGTGCCTAAATTAAACTGCGGTTCAAGACGGAGAAACACACTCAAGTGGAAGGACATCCATCATTGGACATCGCGTGAGCAAAATAATATCATTATCACGCGCGTTGTGCCAGTTACAAAGTGCATAATAGCCGATTTACTTTAGAAAATAAAATTAACCGACCAAAAACATCCTGATGCGAGTGTGGGGGACAATTTAACCCCATCACAAACATCGATATATTTTTAAATCCTTTATATTAAGTTGGCTTGCTTGCTTAGGACCGTGCAAATCTTTCGGTCGTTTTTTAACCCACTTCCCGTGATCTAATCGAGCTGACATTTTCCACACAGACTCGTTGTGCGTGACAATTAATGCTCGTGAAATTTTTTTTCCAAAATTTTACACTTTTTAGGACAAAAATATTAGATTTAATTACCAATTGCTTAATGGTGCAATGCAATCATCTGACCCATAGGTGGCAGCCATCTCAAGCCAAAGGACGAGAGGACTCTAGCCGCCACGCACATAAAGGATTTATAGTGAAAAACTTTGTTTTTACGGGTTATACTTATAACCCATGCAGAAGTTTTGTAAAGCAGCCTACGATGGTTTATAGTCGTCATGATAATCGACATTTTGCAAAGGCGCATTTCATCCGCAGATGCCACTTCGCGACCGCCATGTATGGGAAATTCGAAAATAAACCACAGAAACTGGCACAGGTCAGAAATTAGGCGAAATTAACGGTGTCAGATCTTCACGACAGAACTTTAAACATCTCTCTAACGGTTTAACAACACGAAGTTATCTTTCGCGACCAATATCATCTATAATAGGTTTTTTTGGGGTTAGATCGCGTAAATATAAATGTGTCGTTAAACCCGCCACCACCTGATACAGCCATTAAGTAAAACAGCCTGATGAAGCTAGTTGTAACTACAGGCGAAACGTCGGACTCCGATTGTAAATGTTGTGGGATTTACTCTCCAACACATCGGTGTGCTGTACTAGTATACTACACTATACACTACACTACACACTACTATACACTACACTATACACTACACTGTACACTACATTATACACTACATTATACACTACACTACTATACACTACACTACTATACACTACACTACTATACACTACACTACTATACACTACACTACTATACACTACACTACATTATACACTACACTATACACTACACTACACACTAGTGCTGTACTAGTAACGAATTGGCTACGTTCTGTTTACGTGACAAACCTCACTAATTGGCTGTGGTCGGGTGGTGGTGGGTTTAACGACACATTTATATTTTTACACGATCTAAACCCAAAAACAAATGTACTATGGATCTCTCTAACAATTCCTATTATCTTGTTTATTATTGCTGCTGCTGCAGTAAGCTGAACGCAATCACTCATCTTTTTCCTTTTAAACAAATTGAAATCTTTAAACTTGCAAAACACAGCCGTCCTCGTTACGTTTTAAAGATCCCTGACACAAACAACAACACTTTTGTTCCTTGAACAACCGAGAACAATCTGCGATTTGATTCAAGTTTTGAAGCCACGTTACCATCACCCAGCAAGCCCCGTGGCTGTTACCACCACAGCCAATATTCACACCGAGATACATAAAACATCAGTCAATAAAGAACGTGTCATTTATCTTAACCCTGATCGATAAATTCCTCGCGATTGTCACAACCGTTAAAGTAACACGAGTGTGCGTCATTAATGCGAAAGGGCAAAAGCATAAAGATTACATGCAAGTATTACGTAATTATCATTATCCGAGAAGTGCACTTGCAATTATAGGATGGTATAATATATTGATCATATATGATCAATTTTACATAGTCTATACAACTCACTAATAATAGTTATATTACTGTATAAAAAATATAACTATATTATTATATAACTAGCATATTAATACAGGCAATATTATAGTAATAAATACTATCAATCGCATTGTAATTGTAATACAGTATTAAAATCATTACATTCTATTGCATTAAAAGAAATAGCAATGTAACTGTCCAGTCAATAATATCCACCCATATTTATACAGCAATTACCTTCTAATAACCATTATTATTTGTTGATTTAAAGCTTTCGTGACTGCAGGGATTCATATTCTTGGTTCTTTCGGTAAAGTCACGTAGAAGGGAAACAATAAAATAAGAAAAATATAAAACAATAAAAATTAGTGATAATTTTTTGTGATAATTTTTTTTATTTCCCTTCTACGTGACTTTACCGAAATAACCCAGACTATGAATCATTATTATATTACATTATAAAACCTGACATTCGTGAATCACAATCATCATCTTCACTGCATAAAGCACAGATTTATTATTCATTATTATTATTGCTGCATTAAGCAAGCAAGCACGGGCCTACCAAAACACGGGCTCGAGCCCCCCGTTCTTGCCTAGCGCCTCTTACCGGCCGAGAGCGACAGGAGGCCGGCCCAGCAGCACACCGCGAGCGGCAGCCTCCTCGGCGTCAGCCTCGGCCACGGTTCGCCCACCGCACTCATCGCCTCAGCGTAGACTCCCTCACCGCTCGCGGGTTCGCGAGGCCACCATGCTCACGGTAGAACCAAACGCAGAGGCCCACGGCTGTCGCTTCGCAATTTATATTGAACTGGGTGGGGGGCGGTGGTTTTTGAGGAGGAAAAAGTTTGTGAGTCGCGCTTGCTCCGCTCGTTGAGCTTGGCACCCCCCACAGCGTCACTCTGCCCCCCCGCCCCTACACCGCCCCCCCACCCCTACACCGCCCCCACCTTACACCGCCCCCACCCCTACACCACCCACACACCGCCCCCCCACCCCTACACCGCCCCCCCCACCCCTACACCACCCCCCCCCCACCCACATCACCGCCCCCACCCACACACCGCCCCCCCACCCCTACACCGCCCCCCCCACCCCTACACCGCCCCCCCCACCCCTACACCGCCCCCCACCTTACACCGCCCCCACCCCTACACCACCCCCCCCACCCACACACCGCCCCCACCCACACACCGCCCCACCCCTCATACACCCCCCCCCTACACACCGCCCCCCCCCACCCACACACCGCCCCCACCACACACCGCCCCCCCCACCCACACACCGCCCCCACCCCCACACCGCCGCCCCCCCCACCCCTACACCGCCCCCACCTTACACCGCCCCCACCCACACACCGCCCCCCCCACCCACACACCGCCCCCCTCACCCACACACCGCCCCCACCCACACACCGCCCCCACCCCCACCCCTACACCGCCCCCCACCCACACACCGCCCCCCCCCACCCACACACCGCCCCCACCCACACACCGCCCCACCCCCACCCCTACACCGCTCCCACCCCTACACCGCCCCCACCCACACACCGCCCCCCCCACCCACACACCGCCCCCACCCACACACCGCCCCCACCCCGCCCCCACCCCCGCCCCCACCCACACACCGCCCCCACCCCGCCCCCACCCACACACCAACCACAAACTCCCCTAACATCACCCCCACCCCTACACCGCCCCTCCACACCACCAACTCCTCCTACACCACCCCCCCACCACCACCCCTCCACCACCCACCACCAACTCCCCCCCCCCACACCACCCCCCTCCCACCACCAACTCCCCCCACAACACCACAACTCCCCCCACCACATCACCACCAACACCCCCCCCACATCACCCCCCACCACACCACATCACCACCAATCCCACCCCGCACCATGCCCCCCACACTACCATTAATCCCCCTCCACCACCCCTCACCACACCCCCCACCACCACACCACCACACACCACACCACCCCCCCACCACCCCCACACCACCACGCCACCACCCCCCCACCACACCACCACCATACCACCACCCCACATCACCACCACTCCACCCACCACACCACCACTCCACCCCCCACACCACCACCCCACCCACACCCCACCACCAATCCCCACACCACCCCCCCACCACCCCCCCACCACCACACCACCACCCCCCACCACCCCCCCCACCACCACACCACCACCATACCACCCCCCACCACCATACCACCACCCCCCCACCACCCCTCCACCACTACACCACTACCCCCACCACACACCACCACCAATCGCCCCCCCCCCCCCACATCACCCCCCACCACCTCCCACCCCACCACCACCCACATTAACAAGTCTGCAAGCCCTCCCACCCCGCGGAGGGATACCACACGGGAGAGGGAGAAAGCGGCGCGCGCAACGTTACAGTATTTATTCGTTTTTTGGTCGCAACTGAAAAATTAGTTCCGTCTAAAAAAAAAATCGCGTGTGGTTTAACTTGCAAGCAATGTATTAAAATACGTTGCGAGTGAAAAGCGAAAAGGTTTTGCTTCAGGCGAGGAGGAGGAGGAGGTTGTGGATGGGATTATTTTCTGCGTGAAGCTCGATTTCCCGTAGAGCACGCGCGCGCGCCGCGTTTGTTTTGGGTGCACCCGATTGGTCAATGGGGCGCAACCAATCAGCGGCGGCGAGGACGAGGGGGGGGGGGGCGATTCGATGAATAAATATAATCGACGGGGGGAGGGGGGCGGAGTCACTTCATCATCTGACGTCACTCGTCAGTCAACTCATTCCCAAAAATCTGTGAATAAGTATAACCCGTAAAAACAAAGTTTTTCACTCTAAATCCTTTATATGCGTGGCGGCTAGAGTCCTCTCGTCCTCTGGCTTGAGATGGCTGCCATCTATGGGTCAGATGATTGTTTGCCAGTATTAAGCAATTGGTAATTAAATATTTAATTTGTTTTCCCTAAACAGTGTAAAATTTTGGAAATCTTTTTTCACGAAAATTAATTGTCTCGCACAACGAGTGTGTGTGCAAAATGTCAGCTCGATTGGATCACGGGAAATGGGTTAAAAAACGACCGAAAGATTTGCACGGTCGTAAGCAAGCAAGCAAGCACGCAAGCAAGCAAGCGAACTTAATATAACGGATTTAAAATCGAGGGCATTCGAAATTCTAGATTTGAAGATTTCGTGACTGCAAGGATTCATACGTTTTTTCGGTAAAGTCACGTAGGAAAAAATAAATAATCAAAATAAATAATAAACATAATAGAAATAATAATAGAAATAAAATATCGATTTAAAGCTTTCGTGACTGCAGGGATTCATACGTTTTTTCGGTAAAGTAACGTAGGAAAAAATAAATGATAAAAATAAATAATAAACATAATAGAAATAATAATAGAAATAAAATATCGATTTAAATCTTTCGTGACTGCAAGGATTCATACGTTTTTTCGGTAAAGTCACGTAGGAAAAAAATAAATAATAAAAATAAAGAATGAACATAATAGAATTAATAATAGAAATAAAATATCGATTTAAATAATAATAATAATAGTACAATTTGTAACGCGCGCAAATTTGCAGACGTAGTGGCCGCAACTCAGAGGCGCGGAGCCAAGCTCAGAGTCGCTCAAAAGCATGATTGTAGAGGTGAGTTTTTAAGTGTCTCTTGAAGGAGGCGATTGAGGTGATGCTGCGAATGTGCAGAGGGATATCGTTCCAGACTGTTGGGGCTGCCACCGAGAAGCGGCGCGTAGACACGGTGACCATCCTGGATCTTGGTATTGAGAGGAGGTCGTGAGTCGCGCTGCGCAGGCATCTGCCGTGTGCTGAGCTGCAAGTTGTCAGTAATGAAGAAAGATACGGCGGGCAGGCGGATATGAAGGCATTGTGGCAGAGGCAGGCGGTCTTGTATGTGACCCTACTGGCAATGGGGAGCCAGTTGAGAGCGCGGAGACGAGCTAGTGAGTCGAGGCGGGGATGAGTGTGGGCAATGACGACGCGTGCCAGGAGGTTATTTTGTAGTCTTTGAAGCTTCCTTAGGTTGCCAGCGGAGGTCCGGACAAGGACGGAGTTACAATAGTCAAGGCGAGACCCAACTATGCAACATGCCAAAGTGTTGGCAATTTCAGTAGAGATGAGAGGACGTATGTGTCTAAGAGCCTTCAGGTGAAAGTTACATGAGCTGATGATATGGTTGGTTTGACGGTCGAAGGATAAAGTTGAATCTAGGATGACACCGAGGTAGCTGAAGTGGTTGGTGAACTTGATGCTATGACCGAAGATGTGTATGTGTGTGGGGAGTGCTGCTGAATTGAGACGTTGCTTGGTACTTAACATGATGGCCACTGACCTTTTCGGATTAAGGGCTAGGTTGTGTGCAGTGAACCATTGTTGCACGGCGGTGGTACATTCCGAGAGCCTCTCGAATCCAGATGCATTGCTAGAATCGATGGCGGTGAATAGAATCGCTTTCGTGACTGCAGGGATTCATCTTCTTGGTTATTTCGGTAAAGTCACGTAGAAGGAAAATAATAAAATAATAAAAATAACATATAATAAAATAAGATAATTCTCAGGACGTTTCGGCCACAACGCAAGCAGCCGTCCTTAGGTCACCTGAGGACGGCTGCTTGCGTTGTGGCCGAAACGTCGTGAGAATTATCTTATTTTATTATATGTTACTTTTATTATTTTTTTCATTTTCCTTCTACGTGACTTTACCGAAAGAACCAAGAAGATGAATAAAATAATAAATCACGACGTTTCGGAGGCAACACAAGTCTCCGTCATCAGGTGGGACCGTCACAGCTGAATTTACTGTATTAATTTTTTTATTTCTATTATTATTTCTATTATTTTATTATCTATTTTTATTATTATTTTTTTACCTACGTGACTTTACCAAAAAAACCTGATGGCATTCGAAATCCCAGAGCAGAGAAGGAATTTTACCCGTCGATAAATAAAAATTTTAATCACGACGTTTCGGGCGCAACACAAGCGTCCGTCATCAGTTGGGAAAGCATGGCTTACTGCTGATGCAGACTGCCTACTGCTGATGCAGACTGCCTACTGCTGATACAGACTGCCTACTGCTGATACAGACTGCATCAGCAGTAGGCAGTCTGTATCAGCAGTAAGCCATGCTTTCCCACCTGATGACGGACGCTTGTGTTGCGCCCGAAACGTCGTGATTTAATTTATTTTTCATTAATTTTATTTTTTACCTACGTGACTTTACCGAAAAAACCAAAGAGTATGAATCCTCGCAGTCACGAAAGCTTCAATTCTAGGGTCAAAACAAAGTTCGGCTTGTTTTATGGTGGCGCAGCGGTGAACACTTGTGGCTCATGGCAAGAAGGGACATCTGTGGGAAAAAAAATAGCTTCATAACTCATCGGATTTCTCCAGGGTTAGTCAATATTCTGACCTGGGTTTGATTCCTGGCATCGGCACGCCTTTTCCGTGTGGAGTTTGTATGATGTTTCCCCTGTTCTGAGTGAATGTCGGCATCACTACGATAAGATGTCACTCACTCCCAAGAATCTCGGGATAATCGAGGACAGAGAAGCAGCAGAGAAATAATACTGGTAGGAACCACCTGGTTCCACCAGCCCACAGGGGATTATTGTGTCCGTCCAGCCGTCGTGCATCAAAAAATGGGAGGGGTGGGGCTGGGTGGAGAGGGGAGGGTGGGGAGGGCCTGGGTGGAGAGGGTGGGGCTGGGTGGGGGGTGGGAGGGGTGGGGCTGGGTGGGGAGGGGCTGGTCACCCCGTGGTGCCCTTATAAAACTCAACGTTTAACCTACTCACGCCGGCTTGTGCCCGCCCTCACAGTCGGCCATATTTGCGGAAT